CACCAGTCGGTAACATCCCACGTACACGCTCTACCCTTGAAACTACTTCTTTAATCATCAGTTGTACACTGTCTGACCACCAGTCGGTAACATCCCATGTACACGCTGTACCCTTGTAACTACTTCTTTAATCATCAGTTGTACACTGTCTGACCACCAGTCGGTAACATCCCATGTACACGCTGTACCCTTGTAACTACTTCTTTAATCATCAGTTGTACACTGTCTGACCACCAGTCGGTAACATCCCATGTACACGCTGTACCCTTGAAACTACTTCTTTAATCATCAGTTGTTTAGAAACAGTATATTCATCAGTGCATGATTAGTGTCAATAAACAGTGAATGTTTAGAAACAGTATGTTCATCGGTGCATGATTAGTGTCAATAAACAGTGAATGTTTAGAAACAGTATGTTCATCAGTGCATGATTAGTGTCAATAAACAGTGAATGTTCAGAAACAGTATGTTCATCAGTGCATGATTAGTGTCAATAAACAGTGAATGTTTAGAAACAGTATGTTCATCAGTGCATGATTAGTGTCAATAAACAGTGAATGTTTAGAAACAGTATGTTCATCAGTGCATGATTAGTGTCAATAAACAGTGAATGTTTAGAAACAGTATGTTCATCAGTGCATGTTTAGTGTCAATAAACAGTGAATGTTTAGAAACAGTATATTCATCAGTGCATGATTATTGTCAATAAACAGTGAATGTTTAGAAACAGTGTGTTTTTTATGTTTTATACATTTATCTAGAGTTTGTTTTGAAAGATCACCCTTCCCACTGAATCCTAAATGGGATGATAAATGTTTTGGGTTTAAAGAATACTGTGTAGTTGTTAGTCAAGATATTTAGACTGACTGATAGTTCGATTGTACATATTTCCAGATTGGAAGTGGTAAAGTTGACCAGACCTACACTCTAGAGCTGGAAAATAACATCAGTATTGGAGCTGGCTTAGTAATTCACAAGTTGAAGTGCTTGTCACAAGGTGGACCAGTATGGGAGGCTATCTTAACATCGAGGGGTGCTGGAATTGCTGGAAGCAGGTACACATCTGTAAAGAAATAACTTGTAGTACACATCTGTAGAGAAATAACTGGTAGTACACATCTGTAGTGAAATAACTGGTAGTACACATCTGTAGTGAAATAACTGGTAGTACACATCTGTAGAGAAATAACTTGTAATACACATCTGTAGTGAAATAACTTGCAATACACATTGTAGAAAAATAACTTGCAGTACACATCTGTAGAGAAATAACTTGTAGTACACTTCTGTAGAAAAATAACTTGTAGTACACATCTGTAGAGAAATAACTTGTAGTACACATTGTAGAGAAATAACTTGTAGTACACATCTGTAGAGAAATAACTTGTAGTACACATCTGTAGAGAAATAACTTGTAGTACACATCTGTAGAGAAATAACTGGTATTACACATCTGTAGAGAAATAACTGGTAGTACACATCTGTAATGAAATAACTGGTAGTACACATCTGTAATGAAATAACTTGTAGTACACTTCTGTAGAAAAATAACTTGTAGTACACATCTGTAGAGAAATAACTTGTAGTACACATCTGTAGAGAAATAACTTGTAGTACACATTGTAGAGAAATAACTGGTAGTACACATCTGTAGAGAAATAACTTGTAGTACACATCTGTAGAGAAATAACTGGTAGTACACATCTGTAGTACATGTAACATAGTCAGCTCTGTAATCCTACATTTTACTCAGTCTTTTACTTTTTATAAAACTGTGAAGGTCGAATGATATTAAAGTTAGTGTAACTGTTGTGTTTACTTTTACATGAAATATGCACATATATATGTGTGTATATGAGCTGATTTTGGAACAGTTTTTACTCCGTGTGTGTATGTTTTCAGACATGCAGCGTGTGTGGTTTGTGAAGACAGTACATTGTCTGTATTTTCTGCTGGAGGTCAACGTCTTCTGCCCCCTGTGGTGCTGTCCTCTCCTGCAACTAGACTGACTTGTAGTGACCAGTATGTAATGGTGTTAACTTCTAGAGGTTGTGTGTCGGTTTGGTAAGTGTCAATGTTAACTCTTGGTTTTTATGAAAATTTTTATTCCAGATTTTATAAAAATAGATAATTAAAAATCTGAAGTAATAGGAATATGTAAAGAGGAAAATGAAAACCTACAATACAAAGTTTATACTAAAGATGTGGATGACATAGAACTTAGCATTGTATCCTACAATACAAAGTTTATACTGAAAGATGTGGATGACATAGAACTTAGCATTGTATCCTACAATACAAAGTTTATACTGAAAATGTGGATGACATAGAACTTAGCATTGTATCCTACAATACAAAGTTCATACTGAAAATGTGGATGACATAGAACTTAGCATTGTATCCTACAATACAAAGTTTATACTAAAGATGTGGATGACATAGAACTTAGCATTGTAGTCATCATATATTTTTTAAAATGTCATCGAAAAATAAAGATTAAAGAAACAGAAATCTGCACAAGCTCTCACTATTATTAAATCATTGTCAAATGTACACAGATATAGAGCTTAAAAGTTGAGATAAAAAACTGTTTACGGAGCAGTATATTAGCTGGTCGTTCAAGTGCAAGTTTGAGTACAGTTAAAGTAATAAACCATAGCATATAAATGTCCCATTGCAAGTTCATTTCACTCCTCCTTTAAATTGTAAACAAACAATTTTCTGTAAAGATTTTGTGTGTGTGTGTGTGGACCTCAATGTATAGATTATTCAGTATTTTCAAGTTTTATTTGAATGAAATCCAAAAATAAGAAGATATTGTTTTTACCAGATAGAAAATAGTTCTGAAGCTTGTTTTATTTTCATTAATGTCTTTCATACATGAAAGATTACATTAGCTATCAATGGACTGATAAATATATAGGTTCCTGTTTTATAAACCATTGTTGTTATTTAAGGTTAACTTACACAAGAGTTTTAGCTTGTTTTAAAACTAAATGTTAATTTGTTTTAATATTGCAAGGAACATCCAGGAACTGAAGACACTGGTTAAAAATGAATCTTTACTTCCAATAATGCAAGGTAAGATGTTGAGGTTTAAAGGATTAGGTACAAGTCGAAAGATTTGACTTCAAAATACTAATTTAAACAACAGTTCATGCCAGTTTGTCATATAACTAGTAGATATTGGTAAATTATTAACTATATATAAACACTGGGAGTTTCGTCTCGGGTTCCAAAGTGTACGCTGTTGACAACAGTAAAGAAGAAGCACTTAGAAATTTTGTTTTTAACTCTCTAGAAAGTATATCCCTCAATAAACATTTTGTAAAATTCAATTCACATATTTTCTTCGTAGTTGCTAGGCAATTAAAATCGTGAAATCCAACCTTGATTCACATTTACCACAATAAATGATGAAAGTGTGATTTAAACAGATGTGGGAAAATGAACAAAAATTAAAACAGAAATGTTGAACTTGCTAGGCAGAGTTCTTGGAGCTGTTATATTGTACACAAAGTAAAATTAATCAGCCTTTGCATTGAACAGTGGTGAACGTATTTTATTATATACATTATCGCAATGTGTTCGTACGTTTTACGCAACCTTTTAAACAATAAACACCACGTAGGTATACGTACTATAACACTGAATACTTGATGTCCCTTCATTGCCTTTGGCAAACTTTCAGTAAATATTACAAGTAAAAAAATCAGAATTTTCAGTTAAGTATTCTTACTAAAAATTTGTCTATTATTATATGGAGTCAGAGTGTTGACTGCTCTGAGCACAAAGTGATTTTCATGTTAAAATTAATAAACTTTTCTTCATCTGAAATTTTCAAATTTAATTTACGTAATCCCTAAAACATCCTAAATCAATATCAAATGTTTTTTCTGTTGTTTTCTCTACTCTATACAGAATTGGTTGATTCGATCAGCCTCGTAACCACCATATAAAAATTAGGAAATAATTCTAAGTTACCCTTTTTTGTTGTTGTAACAGTGAAACACGATTGTTTATCCTAAATATCTTAAAGCTCATAACAATATACATTATTGTTTTATTGACTTTTGAACCGTGTCTAACTAATAATCCTGCCACACAAGTTGTAAATCACTTGGTGAACGTGCAGCTCTTATTACCATTTCGAATTGCGTAACGCACAAACAGCTCGCAAGAAGCGTACCTTGTGAAGAATTTTTATTGCTGGCAGAAATGCTGCCCTTAGAGCAGCTGTTTGTGTTAGTAATTAGTAATCATTGAAAAAGATTTAGAAGTGAACATTTTCTAAAAATAATTTTTTTCTGGAAGTTCTGCGTGAGAAAAGTGTTCGGATTGTGCTCTTTTAACCATACACAACTTGTTGCATCAGAATGATTCAATGTAAAGAGCCCAAAATTTTCATAAATTTTACTGATATAAACTGTAATGTTTTTATATCTTTTATTGGAAAAATAAAAATTTTTTTAAGAACTCCAGTTTTTCCATACTACGTTTAAAAATTACATCAATAAAGATATAATCAAACCATCACATACAGTCCTAGTCATGTTCTTTTAGTGAGGAGAATACTTTTATTTAAAATTGTGTTCTGTTATAAAAAGAATGGTTGTTGTAATTTACTAATTATTAATCTATTTACTGGCACCACATTCCATAAGCCTCAGTCACCATTTCTGGCATTGAGATTTTGTTGTATCTCAGCACATCAGGTGGCACCATTGTATTTATTATTTCGGTCACATACATATATAGATGGCCATGCCATTGCTCCATTATAGTAAGATTTTTTTTTTCATTATCATATCCAATCTAACCGTTTAGATTTCTAATTTGACTTTTGATGAAACTTAAGCCTACTTTTTTATACCAATGGTAGTACTTCACTAAATCATTTGTATTTAATTAAATAATACACCTAAGAACAAAAAATAATAACATGCAAAAAACAAACAATATTCCACAACTATCATAATTTTTCTGGCTTTCAAATTATGCAATAAGAGCCTTTAAAAATTCAGCTAAGCTTATCAGTGTGATTCCCGTGAGAACAAACTTGAAATTTGACAATGCCCTTTACAAAAAACAACATAATTTACTAGATTAAAACTGGCTATTTAGTGGTTGAAAATAAAATAGTATAAAACATCGGTAAGAGAAATATTGGCAATTTGTGAAAGAGAGGGTGTGGCAAGTGGGTCCAATTTTCTAGTTTATGGCTCCATAAACAAATAAAATTGAAGGCTATAAAAATTAATCTTTGCTGGGTAATATATACGTATATATATATTGTACTAAGTAACTTATGGTAAATTCCATACTTTTCAGAAGAATGATAAATGAGAGAGGAAATGTCACAGTTATCATACTAGGCAAGATTGAGGATTTTTTAAGTATTTCTTTATAAAATTAAGACCTTAAAACTTATATGATATTAATTTTTGATTTATGAGCTACATTTTAATTCCAAGTTTGCCCCTGAATAAGAAAGGTCCACCTTTCGAAAGCACTCGGGTTATAGGGTTTTTATCGTTTTTTTAATGCCAAGTTTATTCATATGCATTAATAATAAAATGGTTTAATTAAATTTTGAATTTAACCCTGTAAAAGGTTGTGACATGTGTACTTTGACCTACCTGATGCAAAAGGGTGAAAAGAAAAACTTTAAAATTTTGTTTTAAAATGTCTGAAGATTTAAAAGTTGGATCTGGCAATTAAAAATTAAGAAGTGAAATACTTTCACGAGCCAGAACAACAGTGTAAAGTTTGATTGGGTTTATGTTCACCTTGCTAAGAAAGTACACACAGCTATGAATATACTGGAATGGACGGCAACTACCTGTTGTAAAAAAAACACAAGAATAGAAGACTTTTGTAACCTCGTCCCTACACTGTGCTTTTTTACAACAGACAGTTACTGTTCATTCCACTATACTTATCATGAATGTTCTGCCTAAGCAATCTATTAAAGAATACACACAGCTTCACATGGAGAACTGCTTAAATAAACTTGATAATATAAATTTTTTAACACATAGAGTAAAGTTTATCCTTTTAGAATAAATCAAAGGAAGTTATATTTAAAACAATTATAATTTCATTGAGCTATAACATCTATTTTCATAAAATGATCAAGAAAATAAATTATTTAAAGGATTTATGGTCAGGAAGTAATGTTTAGTGAATAAAACAAGCTTAGTTTTTTTCCTATTTATAGGTATGATATTTGGTTTAATGGGCTATAATAAAAGACAGACTTGTACTTGTTTCTTTAGCTCCTGCTGGAACTGACCTCAGTATCAGAAGTACAGGATTAACGGAACATGGAGCTCCAGTTGTTAGCTTGTCGACCAGAAAGTCTTACATCTTTAACTTTGATGTGGGGGCTTGGTAAATATATGCCGTCTTTATAACAATTACACCAGGTCTATGAATGGAAGGGCTAGACCAGTAACATGACAGTTTGAAATTGGTATGGCAATCAAATTGGGCAACGTTTTTGAAATTTTTAATCTTCATGAAAAAAATATAGGAGAAATGTTTTCTTTAACATTCAGTTGATGCTGTTTTACTTGGATTAGTGTGATTGTGCATAGATAGATTAAATTAGGGTTTGGTTAATGGTCATTGAGGAGTCATTTTTCAGAGAGAGATGATAGGAGTCGTGTTATGTTAATAAATGTGAAGTTTTAATACCCAGCTTCCTTCTCTCTGCCGAAGTACTCTGTGTAACATTGAGGAGTCATTTTTCACAGAGAGATGATAGTCGTGTTTTGTTAATAAATGTGAAGTTTTAATACCCAGCTTCCTTATCTCTGCCGAAATACTCTGTGTAACATTGATGAGTCATTTTTCAGAGAGAGGTGATAGTCGTGTTTTGTTAATAAATGTGAAGTTTTAATACCCAGCTTCCTTCTCTCTGCCAAAATACTCTGTGTAACATTGAGGAGTCATTTTTCAGAGAGAGATGATAGTCGTGTTTGTT